TTTCTCACACGTTTGAAGCGTATCACAGGAAATTGAAACGGTTAAATTTGCCACCCACAGAAGCACAGATGCGAAAGTCTACACCACCGATGTCAGACTACCAGCAGCGACCAGAACGCAGGTTCTCGCCGCCCGGCCGCCCATTCGAATTTACCGCGCTCATTCGCTCGACGGGGCGACCAACGTGGCGATAAGCCCGGCCCGGCCAGGCCCCGCGCACACCCGCTCCTCATTGCCATCTCGAGAGTCGACTGTGGCACCGAAGCGCTGGAAACGAAAAGACATTTTAAGCTCGGCTTTTATTCTCTCGTGAAAAGGCGGAAAAGTGTCAGACCAGCCTCGGCGCCCTCACGCCGGCAAGGTGGCGAAACACACGCTACCATCCTGACCACAGCAGACGGGATACCAGTTCACGGACGACGGGAGACAAAAGTCGCCTTTCAAACACAACGTTCTACGTCTTACACTACGTTCTACGACATCCAAGCTTCAACGATGAGGGTGGGCCTTGTTTGCAACGGTTTCACGGCACACTCGAGTTTGGCCTGCGTCGTCAAACACGTAACTTGACGAACGGAGCGAAACATACCCTCCAAACTCGCGGCCGATAGCCTTCCGACGTTAACCGGTTCTTTATTATTTCGACAACCAGGACGGGCCGAAGATCAGGAGGATGGCAAAGGCTGACAGCTATCGCAGAGACTGCGTCGAGGAGGACGCCTTCACCGAAACACGAACGGACATCGACCGTTCACCCGCCGCTCCGAAGGTACGACCAAACGCAACGCCCCGCCCATTCCACTATGCGCCATTCAAAGTGCCCGAGCATGTCTCACTCTTTTCTCATCCATCCTACAGACATTCCATCACCTCCCGGACGTGGCCGTCCTTCGGATTTACAACTACCTACCCGTCGCCTCTGTCTTACAACTCATGAAAGTTAACAAGATGACGAGGCGACTGGGAAGGAGCTACTCCGTGTGGCTACCGAGGTGCCTGGAAGTGGACCACACACTGTTCGCTTCGACCAGCAGGGCGAAACAGTTCTTCGCCTTCTTCAAGAAGTTGGTCGGTGATAGGCTCCCCGGGCCGCGGTGCACACGGCTCCCTACGGAAATATTCCCAAGAGAGGGAGACCTGCAACGCCTTCGCCACTACTGACTCTACTTCGACTCCTGACGTGACTCATTCGCACCCCCCGAGGCTCCGACACGACAGCGGAACCCGGGGGGGGGGGGGGCACTATACTCATGACTCTCACGACTTGGACATTTCTAACGCTGACCCGACCGTTCGACTGCTGACGTCATGCCTTCTCACCACCGAGGTTACCACACGACAAGGGAGCCCGGGCGGTGGGGGAAAACTCATAACTGAACTCTCTCTCTCTCTGTGATTGTCAATTTTTTTCGATTTTTCAAATTTTGATTTTATTTTTGTTGTTTTTATTTTTATTGTTTTCGCCAATACTAACTCGACTTCCTTCTCACCCCCGAGGCTCCCACACCACAAGGGGTTCACTAAAGTCTCTCTCTGTGATTGTCGTTTTTTCTTGTGTTTTTTTTGCGTTTTAAACATTAAAATCAAATGGTGATTGTATTTTATTTTTTAATTTTTTTGCTGGCCTGACCGCAATGTTACCCAGTTCTTCCTCGGAAGCTCTACCCAAGTTTGGTTTCCTCTCCATCCATATTGCACCCTCAAATAACACGAACACGCGCCTACACCCTCCCGTCACCTACCGTACAAGAAACCGTGTACGCGAGGTGACTACGATGGTTTAAAAAGTCAATTTCTGAGATGGAATGCTCATCTTCGAACTCGATCTGTCTTTTTATGATTAAAAACCAACCTGAAAATCCCAGATCGCTATCTCGAGTTTTCGTGCGTACACACGAACGGACAGACAGACAAGCAAACAAACGGAATGAAGCATTTCCCGTCAGTCGAGTAATGGGCTTCGCTAATCGATCAGCCATAAACGCGTCACCTCTAGACGAGCAGAATGAACCTTTTTCGGTCAGTGGGCTTCCCTCATCGATCAACCGAAAGCCGACTTATGAAAACGCCGTGCATCGGACAGGACTAAATGGGCCCTCTACGCTACGCCCGTAGGACTCGCGACACAGGCACGCGTCCGAAAACGGCGGCTCGAGCTATGACGCTGACCTGTCACACCTGTCGTTTTAGGACGCATACGAGCACACATAGGTGGACGTCCAGCCAGCCGGCGAGGCTCAAACCTATCGAATTGAGCACCGACGCTCCTCCTCACGCCACTGACGAACATGCCGCGACTGCGACGCCTCAACGTGCACCAGATGACGCCACAGACGAGCGCCGGCCGTACCGACACCGGCGACGACCATACGCCGATGGAAAAAATCTACCTACCTTCCAGAGAAAAAGTCGGCTCATACACGCAAATGACGACGGCGAAACCGTGCATGTTGTCGTCGAGAGCAGCAGCGGACCGACGACCACAAACTCTTACACCCTCGACCTGCGACTCTCACACCCTACCCCCCTCAACCCTAGGACCTCTCAGACCTTGGACCACTGACCCCTCGACCCTCTCCATCCACATTGCACCCTCCCAAGCCCTGATCGCTTGCCTACATCGTCCAGTCACCTCCCATACACGATGTGTATGGCAGGTGACTACGAAGCTCCTTCTCCACTCCCTCACTTTTTCACAAGGAAACTGCACTCGGGCGCTTCAACAAACCACAGGACGCAAAATATTATGTTTTTTCAAATATTTGTTTATGGGGTAACTCGTGAAAGTAGAGCCCTTTGGGCGAAAATTTCGTCCCTTTTGCTCTATCTTGTACCATTTGGGTGCTAGAGGGCATTTCTTGACAAAAATAAAAAATGGTCTATGAAGTCGTAAAAAAGGCCTTTTATTGAAACATTGTGCAGGAAGTAATACTAACACCACACAGTTTACGTCGAACCACACCCTCCTTTAGGCTCAAGGGTCCCTAGATTATCTAGTATCACTAAAACGTTAATTTTTACATAACAATCTGTCAAAATTTGAAGTTTTAATCAAACAGAAGTTTAATTTCCCTAATTTTAGAGTAAAAATTACCCGACAAATGCTGTGAGTATGTCAAATTTTGGAGTCGGAAGGCTCTGTTCCCGAATACCCGCCCACTAACTCGTCTCGGGTGTCAGCGCCGCAGGCCTAGCTATATGTGCGCCAGGCGCGTCGCAGCGTAACAGTGTTTCGTGAGATATCGCGAAGCCTGTTACGCGAGACGTGGTCTGGCGTACATATAGCTAGTCTTATATAGCGTGCCATGTGTATGTGTTTTCACGCCATGAGAGTGTGTCTGTGTTTGTGTGTGTGTGTGTGTGCGCGCGCGCGACTCGATCCATATGTGTGCGTGTGTGTGCTACTGTGCTCAGGCGGTCGCACCTCCACTAAGCGCACGCACGTGCGGCGCTGGCGTTTGCCCCTGACCAGCGCAGGGGCGAAGCAGGGGGACGTTTGAAAAGTACTCATTGAAAAATAATCTTAACGAATCTTTTTCTTTTCAGTTACTCTCAAGAACGGATGGCGCGCGAGCGTCATCCGCTATGCTCCCCCTTCACCAGCGGGAGCAGTTGGTGCTGCGCTGGGCGCGCCCCACTCTGTCGCCCACCGCAGCGAGCCCGCGGCTCGCCCCGCTGCCGCGCCGGAGCAACGCGGCACCCGCGGCCAGGCCGCGGTTGCCCCCACCGCGCCGCACCGCGGAGAGGCCACATCCACATCCGCCGAGCCGTGCGCCCCTCGACGCCCTCTCAGGGCAATTCAATTGATAAGTCCGGGGCCGTGGATTCGCAAAACAACAAGGCCGAAGTGTGTTGTAAACGTAGGAGTACGTGCAGCAGCCCGTAGTGGCTGAGCGTTTGTCAGTGTGCTAAAATTCTTAGAGGTAACGTTTTAAATAACACAGTAAAGTATGCATAGAAGGCCAGGGAAGCGTGATTGAAGAGGGGGGG